TCGTAAATTGGGAAAATAAAATTCAGCATTCATTTGTACTTAAGAAGAGAAAGGCACCAAACAGAACTAGGAGGGACTTTTCTTGCCCTATAAAAGAAACTGAAAACATCACTAGCTGACAATACATTCCACGATGAAACTGAAGCATTTCTTTAAAGCCCATTGACAAGGACAGCTCTGTCCTCTCTTGCCGCATCAATTAGAAACTGTGCTGTGGATCCTACATAAGCAGTGATCCTAGATAATGCAATAAGGCAGGAAAAATAAACAGAGCAATGGACATTGAAGAAGATATTATTACTCACGGATATGTGACTTAGAAAATCAGAAGTCTACAAAAGCAGGTGAGAATTAATGAGAGGAAATCTATAAAGGTTTCAGGACAAAAATGAATCTCCAAACTATGTTGCATTTTAATAAATTACTATTGAAAACTGAGTTTTTACAAGTTTCTAGGAATAGATAATATAAAGGCAGAAAAAAAATTAAAGCTTTTTCTTTTTTACATTGAAATCAGTGAAGTGGTTAACAGAGACATTTAACAAGAAACAAAGAAACAGAGATATTGTCACATGACTTGACCAGAAAGTTCAAGAGGTTTAAATGGTACAGTTTCCCCAAACTGATCTGTGGTTTCATTCCAGTCTCTTTCAAAATCTCAATTATATTTTTCAGAGATATTGATAAATTGATTCTGAAATCTATGTGGAAATGCGACACTAGGAAAATCAGAAGAAAGACAGCATTGGAGAACTTGCTTTCCTGCAAGCAAAACTTGATCCATATTAATGGGATCAATGAAAGAGAAGTGAATGTCCACATTTAGACTCACACGCAGCCAATTGGTTTTTCACAGTGACATCAAGTCAACTCAGTGGGGAAACTATGCTTAACAAATAGTTCTGGAATCACCAGTTCCACGTGGGAACAAAAGATGAATGAATCTCAACGGTTTTCATTCTCAATATAAAAATGCATTAGGTTGTGATCACGGGTCTAAATGGAAGACCTTTAATTTTAAAGTTTCTATAAGAAAATATGGAAGATATTTTTTATCACTTTAGAAAAGGACGGAGTTTCTCAGCACAAAAAATTATGAACTACAAAATTAAAAACTGATAAACTGATCTTCATAAAAAATTAAAAAAAGATATTGTTAGTAACCTAAGCTACAAACTGACAAGAATATCTGAGAAACATATTGGACAAAGAACTTGTATCCAAAATACATAAAATAGGTGTAGGGGAGATGGTTCAACAGCTAAGAGCACTTACTGCTCTTGCAGAGGACCCAGGTTCCTTACCAGCATCCACACCATCAGCAACTCCAGTTCTGGGGGTTCTGAATTCCCCTTCTGGATTCTGAGGGCACTGCATATACATGGTGCACAGACACACAAAACACTGGTACTCATAAAATAAAAATAAAAGAACTCATACAAAACAATATTAATAATATAATTTTTATATTATTATATTATATATATTATATAATAAAATTTTTAAATGGTTAAAAGATTGAAAAAGATATTTCCCAAAATACGACTTTAGGACAAATAAAGACATGAAAAGATGTTCAACGTCATTCCTCAATAAACACAAATTAAAGCAACAACATTGCAAACTTATCAGAATATCTGAAGTTAAAAGGACTGACCTTTTAGTGAAAATTTAGTAATTCTAATGCTAATAACACCACCATCCACTGATGATAGTGTGTGTGTGTGTGTATATCACAGAAAGCTTGAAAACTGTTCTTGGAAACAAAAGGTAGCACATCTATGTGGCAGAGAGTCTGGTAGTTTCTTGACAATTAAAAAAAAGTTGTACAATTCAAATCTATTCTATCTATGCATTTAAGAGAAATAAAAGTACATCTTTTGTAAAGATTTATATGTAAGTGGTTATACCAACATTTTCCACAGCAGAAACCAGAACGTGGCAACAACCTAACTATCCATCAAGGGAAGAATGAATGATGAAATTGTAGCAGATTTATAAAGGGCCTTGTGTTAAAATGAAGAGGAGCAGACAGCTCATGTGCACAACAAAGTCAAAAAGACATCTAAAAGCAGTTTGTTGAAAAAAGAAGCCAGAAACCAGGAGCAGGTGAGCCAGCCCGAGGGCATGAGCAAGGGGAGCAAGGGCCTCACTACTTGTCTGGCATGTGGCAGCGTGGGAGAGAAAGAAATGCCCTCTGCATTGCCCCGCATCCCTCTACACCTGCTGGCACCTGGAGCATGAGAGTGGAAGAGCTGTCCCTGCCCCTCACTGGCTGCAGCACTTGGGAGAGCAGGCCCTGCAGCTCACCTAAGCAGCACAAGAGCTGACCCCCATTGGCAGGGGTACCGGTAAGCTGGCTCTGAGGGTGTGAGAGCAGGAGAGCTGGTCCCACCTCCCTCATCTGCCCTACAGTATCCACAGCAAGTGAAAGATGTCTTCCCCTTTTTGCTCCTTGCCACCTGAGAGCAAGAGAGCTGGCTCTGAGGTCACAAGAGCAAGACAGCTGGCCCTGCCCCTTATCAGCTGCAGCACTTGGAAGAGTGACCCCTGCAATTCACCTGAGCAACATAGTGTTGCTCACCACCCTGGTGGTGAGGTTTGGGTGAGCTCAGGGCCAAGAGCAGGAGAACAGGCCCTATTCTTTGCTCCTTGTTGCAAGGGGTGAACTAGCTGGGGGCAGTGCTGGAGAGCTCACCCTGGTGGTGAGGATGGGGAAGAACTGGTGGGTGACCAACTCAGCCTCTACCCAGGCACAGAAACCAGGGCAATGAGTTAGATGGCTCATCCCAACATCCAGTCCATCTATGATCTGCTGCAGCATGTGTAGGGGCCGGTCCTGCAGACCCAAAGCGGCAGGATCTCCGTAACAGAGGACAACAACAGGATATCGGAGAGGAGTCCCAGTGAGGGTTCAGTATTGATAGTGCAGCAGAAACCAGAGGCCTGAAATGACTAATTGCAGTGTAAAGGCTGCAGGTAAAGTAAATATGGACTAAAGGGTGTACTGTGTAACACTACAGTTTCCAAGAAGAGATGTTTATGAATTTGTTCTTCTTTTATTTTCTTTTATTTTATGGGGGGGGGCGATTGCAGGGGCAAAGGCTGGATTCAAGGGAACAGGGAGATGGGTGGGATCAAGATGCAAGCTGTGAAAGCCACAAAGAATCAATAAAATGTTTGAAAAAGAAAGAAGGAAGGAAGCCAGGCATGAAGAGTGCATACTACACATTCTTACATCTATATGAGAGCCAAGAACAAGCAAAAACAATCTAAACAATAGAAATCAGAAAGTGGTTGCTTCTGAGGAGGCAGAACTGACTACACTGGGCCAGGAAGAATCATTCCAAGGGGAAGACAAGTCTGGAATGTTGATTATCTTGGTTCATTCAATTACCAAACTCATCAAACAGCATTGTTTGCTGTGGGCTTTTCTAGAACACTCCAATTAGCTCTTTATTGATCTGCCTACTTCCCTTCCTTTCTTACTTCCTGGAATGGGCACATGATTAGTGCCCCAGCAGCCTTTTAGGACCATGAAGACAAAACCCATGACAGATAGACAGACAGACAGACAGACAGCAGGAAAGCCTTGGATTCCCATATGTGGAGTGGTAAGCCAGCTCTGAACTACCCTTCTCCAGACTCCTCTATATGGAGGAGAGAGAAACAATTCTCCTTTTAAGCCAGTGTCTTTATGACTTGCAGCCAAACACAATTCCTGAGAATTAGAATCAGTAAGAATTTCCTTTCAGAGTAGAATTGTTTGGCCTATGTCAGATTACAGTTGAGAACTATACTAACTATACCTCCTCCTTCTCCTTCAATACAGGGTTCCTCTGTGTAACCCTAGCTGTCCTGGAACTTGCTTTACAAAACAGGCTGTCCTTGAACTCAGAGATCCACCTACTTTTGCCTCCCAGGTGCTGGAACTATAGGCATGTGCCACCACCACCCAGCTTATGAGAACTACACTAAACTTCTAAACTGAAATAACATTATTTGCTTCTTATAGATACTGCTCCATTTGATGTATTAAAATATTAAATACTAACATACATTTGGGAAATGTGTGTGTGTGTGTGTGTGTGTGTGTGTGTATGTGTGTGTGTATGAGAGAGAGAGAGAGATTGTAGTATAAAGCTAATGCTTTGACTCAAACTGGATCTTTTCACGAATCCTTGTTCAGTCACGTGGTCTTGGGTAACTTGCTGACCTCTCCAAGTTCCTTGCTACTTCTTCTGAGTACAAGACTCAAAGAGACCACTTTCAACCTTCCATCATTATAAAGATGCATAAGAAGTATTCAGCATAGAGGCTGCCATGGAGCAAATGGTAGCTCCTTTTCAGAGGAAGGATATTAAATAACTTGCTTGATTTTTGAACATGTCATTGACCATACAAGTAAGCCATCACAGAGCAATTTGCCCTTGACTATCATCTGCATAATACATAGTTTTAATGGTTGGCTATAACATTTTATAATAGGCTCACTGCCTCATTTCCTGTTGAGTTTAATTGCAGTAAAGGCTCCTGCTCTCTGAAATGAGAAAAAGCCACATTTCCCAAAGTGCGTCAGAGAAAGCTGCAAAAATAGTTATTTTGATAGAAAGACTCAGGAAAAAAAAAATGTAGGTTCTTATGAAATAGCTCTAGAAAGCGGTGGTTACTGAGGACTGAAGATCTCAGAGGGACTGGTAAGTGTGGCCTGTGTAGCCCACAGTGAAAGACAAAGTCTACTTGCCCACAGGCAGGAAACCTACTTGGCTATATCCTGACCTGCAAACCTGGCAGATGATGTAGGGTCTGTGGACTGGAACCATGAAGTTATGATGACCCCACCTTGGCTGGAAACTACCTAGACCACAGAGAATTGCTGAGATCCCAACATGAGAAAGAAATGCCAGGGTGTTAACAAGCTCCTGGCAGGGCAGATTGGGTGTGTGCATTACATCTGTAGAAACCAGTGCCTGAGGATGCCAGGGAGTTCACTTACTTACCTGCAAGGGTTGGTGATTTCCTCTGGTGTTGTTTTCATAAAAGGAGAAACGGGCTTTTCCACAAAAGAGCCAAAGCCCAGTCTAAAGTTGCTGGTTAATTTAGACATCTCTTTGGCAAGCCGGGAGCCCAGCTCTTTGATTGTGTTGAGGTCGTCATCCATGGAGGCCGAGAGATCCATGAGGTAATACAGATCTACTGGGTAATCTTCCGTTTGGCGGACTTGCACTTGCAGAGTCTGCTCGACACCTGTAATAGCCCATGAGAATGGCACATCTATAAACACAGCAGTTATTTGTAATGAACCAGTCTTAGGCTAGCTGGCTACTATATTTCAGTGAGACCTTATTAAGGTGCATGCAATCTCACAAACTGTGTGGTAGCATTTATAAATGAGCACATCCTTGCAAATCTCTCAGTGGTGAGTTTCGAAGGGCTGGAGGAGGTGTATATGGAGATATTTTATATCTCCTTGGGAGAAGTAGCATCCATTTAGATGAAAGATAAGCTGTGTTTTTTGTGTGTGTGGCTTTAGAAAAGGTGAACCGAATAGAGGGCAGATCAAATCCACATTTCAGTCCTTGAAGAAATGTGCAGTCATGTAAGTGACATTTGAGTAATTTGAACGGTCACCGCTAGAGAAGCTGTCTTCAGTGACACAATGAAGGGACATGGTAGTAATTCCCCATTTCTCGCAGTTTGGGGAATGGGAATCCCAATAACCAATGATGTGTGTTGGGCACTAGTGGGATTAGTGGGCAGCAAGTCACAGACACAATGCTAGGAAACCAATCGTTCCATACCTGGCCTCAATTTAAGAACCAAGCTTTGGGGAGAGATCTGAACAATGTCAGAGCTATTCTTCTGTCGGCCTACGCTGAGAGGCTTATTTTGAAGGATTTCCACTTGGGAGACAGGGTTTTCGATGAAGGGTAATTGACATCCTTTGGCCAAGAGATTTGCTGGGGTGTCACACCTTTCTCCAGCTCCAGACAGGTGGGTAAAATTCTAAAAGGGGAAAAAATTATAAAGAGGAGAATAAGAAAAATTTGTATCTCTTGCTAACATGCCAGGCATTATTTTTTGTATGTTTTGTGAGATAAGTATGTACCTCATACCCCCATGAGACTGGTGGTGATTGGCAGGTGGAGTTATTTTGAGTAACACTGGAGCCTCTTTTTAATTATGCTCAGTCAAATTCATCTAACTGTTTGTTTTTTCAAAGCCCATGTCTGGAAGTTTCTCCCATGATCTGAGTAGATCTTTAAAATGACTGCGTTCCCAAAGTTGACTTTTTCCTGTGACTTTATTTGTTCTGGAAGAATGGCTGGTTTCTGGACTCCTAGAACTGTCATGCTTTTTATGTCTGTCACAAACCCAGGGAGATGTTTCCTTTGGATTCCTAAAGGACAGGGCACCTGACATCTCCCTGACTGGCACTCAGCTGCCCTATTCGTTGATGTAGTCCCTGCGATCACTTGGCCGAAACAGACCTCTCAAGGACTTTGAGCTCAGTGTCTTAAAGAATTCCAGTTCAAGGTCTCTTAGAGCTTTCTTTCAGGCTTAGAAGTTGAAAGAGAGGATGGTTTAAAGTCTGTATTCTGTCTGGGATCCTAGAAAAATCCCAGCTCTTCTGGTCCAGCCAGACAGAAGGCTGAGGGGTGTAGAGTGTAGCAGGGATGCAGCTACTCCAATCTTACAGCACCCAGAGCAGGTGCTGCTGATAGGCAAAGTTGTTTCCAACTATGGGCAAAACTGAACCGAGACCCTTGGATTTGTGTGTGTGTGTGAGTGTGAGTGTGTGTGTGTGTGTGTGTGTGTGTGTGTGTATGTGTGATGGGCTCCTGGAGGCCAGTTTGGTGTCTACTAAGAACCAAACTAATGCTTATATCTTTTCCTTATCCCTTAGGATTCTAAGCCATGTCTTCTATTTTCACCAGCTAGGAAAGTTACATTTCTTCTAAAATGGACTTTTGAAAATACAATTTGTTACTGCCAATCAGATGTATTGAGATTTGAGGCTCTATCCTGAGTATGGCAAACTGCAACTTCCCATGATGTAACAAAGGCAAACAGTGGCTGGATGAGGCCTCAGAATCCTTCCTAACACACTGCAGTGGCTATCAGCTGTGTTTAGCCTTTGCCAAAAGAGAAGAGGTGGTGTGAACTGAGAAACAGTTTGTGAATACTTTAAGCTTTGTTCATTCTTTGTTCTAATGGCCACATCTGTTTGCTGTAGCTGATTAGCTCAACAGCTAAGATTGCTTATTGCTCTCTCAGAGGACCCAAATACATTCCCAGCACCTGTATCTGGAAATGCACAACTATAGCTCCTTCTTCTGGCCTCCACGAGTACATAGATGGACACACACACACACACACACACACACACACACACACACACACACACACAGTAAACATAAATTCTAGGTTGAATTTCTTTGTCTCTGCCATGAAACTAATATTGTATTCTAGATAATGTCCAAGGAACATATGGGCTTGTTTCTTATTGAATACTGCATTTGCTATTTGAACTCAAAAGAGCATAGTTGTCTTGAATTTTGTTTGTGGCCCAAGCAGTTGAGGCAGTGGAGGGGTTTATGCTTTCCTATCTATAAGGTGACCCTCTACAGATGTGGAATGTGGGTCGTAACAGTTATAGCCCAGTTCTAAGCTGGGCATCTAGATTCCTTTCCCCTTGAGAATGCTACTGGGCTCTTGTTGGCATTTATAAGCATTGGTTGGCATGTAGAGTCTTTCCAGTGGGTGGGACTTAAAATCCAGAAAGCCAAAGGCCTCTTTGTCTAGGTGCAAATCCTTCACACATTGCTCTGTATATCACAGCACAGGCTGGGACTTGGTCTGTCTTGTTAGATAGGCCCCATGGTCCTCACTCTTCACACAGTTTTCCCTCTCACCAGACAAGACAGTTTCTTTACAGCTTTGCAATTGCTGTGCAAGAGTCACTCAGTTCACAAACATGTAATTTGTAAAAGAATTGCCTGATGCATGAATCATAGCTTTCCATTCTTGACGTACCTAGCAGAGACTCACAACAGATCTCAGGTCCCACTGTAGCACACTGGAACCACACTGTAGCAGCATTAAGTGTCTGCTTCACTTTGAACAATATCATCTCCATGGTCACCAATTATCCAGACAGAATATTACACCTGCAACCAGCTAGAAAACCTTTAATGTAAGAGAAGTAACCAGATGGCTGGAACCCTTTTAGTCTTAGTACTCAGGAGGCAGAACCAGACATCTCTCTGTGAGTTCCTGGCTAGCCTGGTCTACATAGTGAGTTCCAGACCATCTAGTGCTATGTAGTGAGACCCTATCCCAAAAATAAAAATGAAAAAAATTAATTAATGAACTAATTAATTAAAAGAAGCCACTAGATTTAATAAAGGATGGTTAGGTAAGTTTTTAAAAAATAATTTGACATCCATTCCTTCAGTAAATTGTTTTCAAAGTACACATGAATACAAATTTGACCCTCTAATAGTCAGGTCCCTTTCTTGATTCTTTAAACGCCACAGAGAGAAAGGCTTTCACTGAGGACATTAACTGATGTATAAACAGTATTCTGCAACAGGGTGAGGGCCAGTGATTTACCTCCTGGGAGCACCAGCCACAGTGAGGTCCCATGAGCAAGCAGTCTGAGCAGGATTCTGCACCACCCCAGGCACAACCACCTAAGGGCAAAGCCAGCAAGACGGGGAGTTAAAGCACTTTCATTCATTCATTCTGCTTATAGGACTAACACGTCTTACTCAAGCAAAGCTACACCAAACTTCACTTGAGAAAATTAGTCCTCTGAAGGCTAGTAACTCAAGTCAAAGTTTGTAGTTTATACCTGTCACATCGGAAATATATACACCATGTAAACAGAAGTTAGCGCTTTTGTCTTAAACCACAGCAATGGCTAACTGCCCAGCAGCACAAACTCATCTGTTTTATTTTCCTATTCAATACCTGCCCCTTAATTTCAAAAACTTATCTGTACCCATTAAAAAGGATTATAAATTCAGCATTTCTGTTTCTAAGACCCTTCTCTATTCTCAAGATCATGACTCCCAAGTGGATGCCCTTGTCATACAACAAAATAGAAAAGCTTCTGAAGCGACTATCACAACGTTACTCAGAAGCCCCACTGTGCAGGAAGGGCTGTCTAATTCTCCTCATTAAAATGCCCATGCAACCTTTGTATTTATTTACCCAGCACCTAGAACATTCACCAAGCGACATGCCCCGAGTCTGCCTATAGTTTGTTAAAGTGTCTCTGTGGCAAGAGAGCCATCAGGGAGATCAAAAGAAAAATTACTGCAGGTCTGCTTTCTGAAGCAAATGACAGTTTGTCAAGCGTAAGATGACGAGAGAGAGAGAGATACCGGAGAGCTTCGGTCTTACCTTGGACGCGATCATTCCTTCCTAGAAGTAGCAGGAACAGGCAGAGCAGCTCAATCCCCATTCGGTTCAGTTTTCACTGTGCAGACAGATTAAAAAATGAGTTACCTCCAGGGTTACAAGACCAAAGCTGGAGGCCGTGAAAGTCTTTCTTGCAGTGTAAGAGAGGGGAAAAAAAAAAAAAAAAAGATGCGAAGCTACTTACACCCTTTGAAAAGTAACTCGAGCTGTAAATTCAAAAGCTTTCATTAAGATTGAAATGAAAATAGAAGCTACCTGGACGGGCAAAGCAGAAAAGCTGTGTTTAAAAGCAACTTCAACACGATTACTTCCTTGTTTGCCATATAAGGAAAGCAGGTGTACAATCACGGGGAAGGTAGGGAGAGTCATGCAGGAGACATTTTTGTGTGTGTCAATTCTATTAGTCTTAAGTGCATCCTAGAGAAAATTAGTGTCTTTAGTGAAATGGCCATCAATAGGCTGTCCAAAGACCAATTGGAATGCATAGTTTTCATAACAATTTTAATGCAATAAGAACGTGAAATAAAATGCCAGGGTTTAAGCTTAAAAAAAAAAAAAAAAAAAGCTCACTGAAAATACCTGAGATTTTTGTTTTTCATGTTAGAGCCTCTGCAGAGAATTGAAATAAGATCTGAAAAATAAAAAAGCATTATTTTACAGTCAAATTAGAAGTTAGGTCAAGGAGAACAAAACACTTTTATTTTTTAAATTATACGAGATTTGCTTTTCACAGGCATAGGATTCTTATTTTATATATATATATATATATATGAAACAGTATATGAAGATCAATTGGTCAAAATAAAGACAGTCTTAACACAACAACAGAAGAAACAGAAAGAGAAATAATAGCAGCCAAGCTTCTTAATCCCTGTTTCTAGAGGACTCTTCCAGGGTGGGGACCACATAGAAACTTTGGTAGGTACATTCATGTCTTCCAGTACCAAGACTTCAAAACAAAGAAAGCACAACCAAAAACCAACATTGAAAAAGAAGAGGCTTCTGGCTTCCAGCCCCTGGCTGGGCACACAGAAATTATGTATTTGTTAAATGAAATAGTGACACCTCAAAATGTGTGTGTAGTCTATGGATAAATCTGTGAGGTTTGTAACCCTGGGATGCAGGGATTCAGGATGTATTTGGAAATGAACCCTGTTTGAGGATTAGATGTGAATATGAAAGGGAGAGACATTTATGGCCGAGACACTGAGTGCTCTTGACTGAGAGATTAGAGAAATGGCAGCTTCCACATGGAGGGTGAGCATAAAAAACATGGCATGTTTGAGACCCCAGAAGATGCCATGAATACAACTGGACATCGAATTCTGGAACTTAAGGAAATATCAAAGTATCAAGTACAGTAGAATTGGATATAGCAGCATGGACTAAGAGCTATGGGGATGGAGATCTTCAAATATAGGGGTCTGAATGAGCTCTCCAAGGCAGTGAGCATGGGTGGGGAGGAGCCCTGAGAACTGAGACCTGGGCCTAATAGTATGTAGCAGTCAGGGGAGCAGCACAGAATAAAGGAAGCTGCTATCTAACAGACACACCATCTTGCCAATGAGGAACTGTCTTTGTCAGAGATCAGTTCTCAGAGTATCTCTCATGTTTCCACACCTCTTGCAGGAAGAGGCAATGGCTGCCTTTGTTCTGGACTCCAAGAGTGTTTATAAAGCAAGCAGCCTTTGAAGAGAGGCATAGTGTCTCCCTAAGGACAGTAAAAAAGTTCTTACAGCTTTGAAAGTTCCAGGCTGCATTTCTGTACAGACTAAGGGGCAGGTGTGCTTGCACCTTGCAAAGTTAGCATGAGAGAGCAGGCATGCTTGCTGGCTGCCGATCAGGAAAGGCTCAATTTCTCTAATGCAGGCTTTCTGTCCTGGAGCCCAGCCTACTCTATCTGTAGGCATCTCGTTCCTTTTGGGTTGGGAGATGGATGAGATAAAATGCTGACACTCAGGCCACTGCTATTACTGTGAATGGCAAAGTCCTTTATCTCTGACACAGGCATTAGCTCTATCACACACACACACACACACACACACACACACACACACACACACACACACACGGGGAGACGGGGAGTAAGAGAGAGACAGAGATGTAAATAAATAATAAATTTAGAACAGAGAATGTTAGAAAAATGTAAGCATTAACCAACCAAACAAAAACCTATTATACAGCCCACAAGTCCACTACTGGGCACATATCCAAAGAAAATGGGATCCATACATTGAGGAGACACCTGCCCTTGCATGTTTATAAACATCACCTTTATTCTGTCCTTAATGGAAATTTGAATAGAATGGAGACTGTTTTGTTAAGGGAAATAAGCCAGGTGTAGAAAAACACACATAAATACACTTTCTTACATACATATGGAAAGTAAATAGTTGGGCTCAAAGAAGCAAAGAAGTAACAAATAGAAGAATGGAAAAGGGAGGGAGGGAGGAATGGAGAGTTGATGGTTTAGTGGGTACCAGTATACAGTTTGTGAGGAGGAATGACATCTATTGTTCTAAAACATAGTAGAACAACTTTGGCTAACAATAATGTATTGAATGTTTAAAATTAGCTATCAGAGAGGATTTTGAACATTCTGGGGTAATGATATGCCAATGACTTGATCATGTTGTACATATTCGTTGAAACCCCACACTCTACCCTAAGGATATATCAATTACTATGTCAATTACAAATGAAAATGTATCTTAAGAGAATGTATTCGACACAATGTAAAAGCTCAGAAAATGCTTTCTGTCTCTTTTGAAATGGAGGGCAGTATTGTAGACACAGAAAGTCATGCTTTGACCATACTTTAAGTGTAGGCATAAATTCTACCTGTTGTGATTTTTCTCTCGAAGGTTCATCTTTCAGCTCTCTAACCTGGATCCTTGCTATAGGAGTCTTTCTGTTTTCTCCCAGTGTTTTGTATATGACAGAGTTGAACACTGAATATAGGCTTCTGGGAAAAAAAATCTTAAGTAGTCTATAATTTGCTTTCCTCTCTTTGCAGGTTTCTCATGCTTGCCTGAAAATGGACCTTCAAAAGATAGTCTCCCAGGACGTGAGCCCAGACACAAAGGAGCCCATCTAAGGTCAGAAAGAGTGGCAGTGCCTTGAAAACCCAGGGGCCCTTCAGCCCTTCCTGGTTTGTGAAAATCTCCTCAAATCACGTTCTTTCTTCAGACTGAACATGCAACTTTCCAACCCTGCTTTGGGAGAAAAGATCTTGTATCTGTAAGGCTGGCCCCGTGCAACTTAGACCAAACAGTGATGCCTGTGTCCAGAGGCATCCCAGGCTCCAGAGCTATCTGCTCACAAACATCCCAGCCTGCTTGTGTTCATAGATGTGGATGAACTGGCATCATGGGTATCTGCACACCTTTCCAGCTGCCCTCCCCTAGAATCTTTGCTGGGTTTCTAGCTGCCATGAAACATCTCTTCTTGCAGGGCAGTGGGACTCCTTAGCCTCTTTTGGGGATAAGAGACTCTAGTGACTGCTCTTGTAAATAGGCTATGAGTGAAAGTGTTGCATACTATTTCATGCTCTTCTGCCAATTGGATGTAGGCATTGAGGTCCTGAGAGAATTGGGAAAACACAGTTTGAAATTGAGTACCTTTGAATTGAGTTGGTCTTCTAATTTACTATTTCATATAAACACTTCCACCCCAGTCAGGAAACTTACAATTACCCTGGGATATTTATTTTTGTGTTCTCAGCAGTAACCCTCTGTTGTTCATGCCTTCCCTGCTTTCCAGGCCCATGCCCTTGGCCCCTGCTGCCTGAAGACCCTTGTCTTCCCCTTACCTGCCCAGTTCAGTCACTGCTCTTGGTCTCTAAGAGACTTTTGAGTCTCTCATGCCCATGACGTTCCTGGACATCCCTTTCTACTGCTTACACTTGTCTGAATATTGACTTCTTGCTCTCACCAGACTGAGTTTTTTTTCAAGGCATTAATTTACACAGTGTACATTTATTGAATTCTTACTATGCAGCCAGAAGGAATTGCATCAAGTTAGTCTTTTTGTTTCTGGTGAGTAGCACAATGCATGGCACTTCATAAGTAGTCAGTTATACTCATAGGGAAGAATAACAAAATGTATGTTTTCATTGTGTAGTGTTTCACCTGTAATAGGGTAATTACTGAAGAGATAGTGAGTAAATAGATGAGCAAATGGATAAATTATTTGGGAGTGTACTCAACTGAAGGGAGGAACTGAAGAGAAAATAAAACAGAAGAATGGGGTGTAAGAAAACACTCTTCCACTGTTTCCACACTGACCCTGATCTAACTATTATCTTCAAGGCTGTAAGGTATGCCCTGTCCTTTGAAGGGGTGTGGGGAGGCAGCCCTCCCTGATGGCTCCACAAGCAGCCAACCCTTTCGTTTAAGTGTCCTGAAGAAAACTTTGTCTCTGCATCTTCACATAGTGGTCCTCCTTATCCACAGGGGACCAAGTGTCAGGGTCCCAGGCAGTCCCTAAAACATGAAGATAAAGGTGCATAGCCCTGTGCTATATGATTTTCCTGTACATATGTCCACACATTTCACACTTTCCTGTTTTAACCAGGTACGATCACACGCTGTGGCTTTAACTTTTGCAGTTTGGGGTATGACAGCAAAACTAGCACAGATTTCTTTTCCTTTTTCATGTTTTCACAGATAGACTGGTTCTTACCGTAGACATTAGCTATCAAGGCATGCAATATTTTTCTGTCCTTAAGTTGAGAATTTTAGCCTTTTCACTTAAGGCAATTATTTATGGCTTCACTTGGCATATCTAAACTCAGCATTACCATGCACATTCTAAGAGGGCATTTTTTAAAGTAAAATAAGAATTTTGTGAATATAAGAACAGCAATACTAGGTCAGTTGATAATAGATGAGTAGCCTGTACCATCTGGATACACTAGACAAAGAGGTGAAGAAACAAAATGTTGAAAGATTTTTATTGTTTTATTCTGAATGGTTCACTACTTAAATCTTAAAATTTATTTCTAGAATTTTCCATTTAATATTTTTAGATTATTGAAAGCCAAACTAAAAATGGGTGAGTAAAGCGGATATACTGTATGGAACCACAAATGGGAAATGCAGGTAGAAAATCAGTCTCATCATGAGAAGTAAAGCTGGCTGGAGGGGTTAGGGGAGGGATCCTCGAGCACTATAAACTGCAGGGAAGAAGCAAAATGCTTCTGGACCAAGCCCACTTTAGGGCAAATCAGCAGTTTTGTTCAATCCAAAGGCAGAGGAAAGATAGTCCAAGTCAGAAATGAGGCAGCTGAATTAGAGTACTAGTAAGTAGTAAAGGCTCTGAGCCACATAGAAGGGAAAATCCTAGTCAGAGTCACAAGCCAACACTTACTCAGCTGAAGGACCGTGACCTAAGAGCTTTGTGATCACAAATATCCTTCTAGGTGTGATCTCACCTAAGCTCAGCTCTTCCCAGCCTTCTCCAACATCCTCTCTCCATTGGAACAGTAAATCCTTAATAACAAATCCTCACTTGTTATAAGTGATTGAATCATTGTATTTCTTACAAGGACCTTGCCATACTGTCTCTATTTTCAGATAGATGGTTATAGAATATAGACATTCCATTTGCTTAGACTCAAGACTGGAGGCT